TTCACTTGTAAGAAGTTCTTAGGGTCTAATGTACAGCACGGTGGCTGTAGTTAATAACATGGTATCGTATACTCAGAAGTTGCTGAAAGTGAATTTTAAGCATTCTCACAACATAAATAAAAAAGAAAAAGAGTTAACTATGTTACTTACGTGAGGTGATGGGTGTATTAATCCTCTTGATCTTGGTAAACATTCTATAATGTATCTGCCTATCAGATCATCACAATGTAGCTACACTCTAATTATATACAATTATGTCTGTCAGCTAATCTCCAACAAAGTGAAAATTAAAAGAAAATTATCTCTGCTTATTAACGCTTCCATGTTTATATTTAAAAGTACGCATAGAGTGTTCACATCCAAGAATATAAAATACATAGCAGATCATATTTATCACATACATGGAATAAAATCATAAAGATGATATATTAGTTTAAAGCCACAAGAAAAGACTACAAAGCACAAGAAAGATGAATTTCAGTGATGGGCTCCCCCCAAAGGAAATACACTGATGCTCTATGGGAGAGCAATACTTGGGACAAATGAAAGGAAAGGAACTTGCATTAGCCCAGCCTCCTTTTCCCACTTAAAAAATATATCAGAATACTTCCCTCTGAAGCTCTATGTGGCCATCTGTCAACCGCAGGGTGATCGTGGGTGTTACACTGTGTGTTATATTCTAGATAATATCCAACACGTAACAGATGCTCAATAAATGGTTGACACTGTGATTGTCTATGGGGATGTGCCCACACTTAAGAGAACAGAGTCGACTACTCCTCCTCTAGTACTAATGGTAACAATTACTAGTGACCTGGACATGGGACAGAAAAAATAATCCCTGCGATAACTAGAAAACATTTTTAGTTTTAAGTCTGGTGCTATGCAAACAATTGGCTAAGCATGTTTATGGCCTAAAAGCTATCACGGGCAAACTGTCTCCTTACAGACAGAACAATATGAATGTCTCCTTCATCAGTCGGTAAATAATGTTCCATCTTAGTCAATCTGCTACTTTTCACAATTACCAACTTCCATCTAAAAATAATCTCGAACCTACATTTAAACCCAACCTGTTTTTTCCCATTACATAAGAAAGCTTACTGCTCTAATTTCGTAATTGAGTTCACCATATAGATGAGAGAAGTTTCTTTATTTATAGAATTTAAACATTTTTGTTGCCACCTGGAAAAGAGTTTTGGTTCTATTACCCCAAAGGCGATGATGATCATCTGTTCATGTGTATCTGCATTCCCGTTGGTCAGAAGAAACGTTTATAACACAACATTTAGGCAGTTGCTAAACAGAGCTGTTATTTAAAAGTTTATAGATGTGCCAGAGGTATTGCTACTTATTTATTTTATCCTCGCTCAACATTTTTTCATTTTTTGTTCAGATAGAGTGGGAGGGAGAGAGAGGAAGAGAGAGAGAGAAACATTGACGTGAAAGGGACACGCCGAGTGGCTGCCACTCGCACGACCCAGCCAGGGCCAGGGACAAACTACAACCAAGGTACGCGCCCTTAGCGGGAACCGAACCCGGGTCTCTCTGGACCGCAGGCCGTCGCTCCAACCGCTGAGCCAAACCAGCCAGCGCGGTATTGCTCCTTTATTTAGCATTCCCAAATTGGTCTAATTTTCCGTATGCACCTCACATTTCCTTCAGAGACCCAGTGTCCTTTCTTATTAATCTTGTATTCAAATCAGAACTTTCTACATTGGAAGGGCAGTAATAAAATGGTCAAATATTGGACTAAAGTAACGATCTGAAAGTTCGTTAATGAACAGTGTCCACTGTGTTAACCTCTGAAGATGGAGAAGTTCCCAGGAGGAGTCCCGTGCATCGGACCTGCATGCTTTGAAGACCTTGAAGCCAAACACTCCATTTCCGGCGAATATCCTTAGGAGAACAATAGATTTGGGGGCTATTTTACATTCTGTGCTGTTTTGCCTGTGAAGTAGAAAACATTTGGCTCAGAAGTTCTGTCCATCCGATTTTTACAACCGCAGGTTATAATGATCTCAGGTAATATTGTGGGATCCTCTCTTCCCTTGAGCCTGTCTTCACCCGTCCCCATCCATGGAGGACGAGCTGATTGGCAGTGAGTTCCCTCTTAGTGCGAGGAGTTGAGGCCCTGGCCCTGGTAATGGGGAGAAGAGCCATGTGAGCGCCTAGGGGGCATCAGGCCTTGACAACCCCTCCCTGCAAGACCCAGGGTGTAGGGTGGGACCCCATGGCTGGCTGAAATCTTCAAAGGAACGAGGGATAGGAGCAAAGAGCCGAGGAACAGGAATGCTTTCGCTGCTGTTCTTATGTACAGCATCGGCTGATTTATTTTGATCAGCTTATCACAAAGGGATCCTGCACATGTCAAAGGATTAAGTGTTCTTTTACCGATGCATCTAAAAGTCAGGTTACAAGGTGAGTGCGCATTTACATGCTGGCTTTGTTTACAGGAGTCTACAGCCCCGGGTCTGCCAAGGGTTCCGCAGATAATGATACTAGGAGAACCTGACAGCATCATCTGTCATCTTGGCAGCGCTGTTTGTAAGAGCCAAGATCTCAAACATGCCGATTCACTTAGTCAGGGGTAAGGGTGCAAAAAAGAGAATTTATTGTTATATTTTTGCAGAGGGCAGGAGTGCTTTTGAGGGTCAAAAAAAAAGACTATTGGCAAACCCCATCCTTGTCCCTAGGGCTCCCCTACTCCTCCCAAGCCGCGGCAGGGAGACCCCAGCGCCCATAGGTGGCGCCCCAGGTCCGCAGTTGCGCTCTCGCCGCGCTCTGGGCGCCGCTCGGAAACCCCGCGCGTCTCCCCAGGTCCTGGGAGCTCTGAGCAGGCATTTTAATAAATAAGCGCGAGTGGCAACGCGCTCCACGAGCCCCAACGCGCTCCACGAGCCCCGAGGTTCAGAGGAGCAGCGCAGAAACCCCGGCGGAGTTGCCTCCCCAATCCCTGCCAAATCCTGACATTTCCCGAACTGGAGACTCAGGGATCGCGCAGCCTTTAAACCATTAAAACCTACGCCTTTTCTTTCCACCCCAGGTTTTTATTTTATTTTTATTTTTAATAAAACTGCTTTCCTCCCCCCACTCTCAATGATGAAAGTGGCCACGCTGCTCAGGATTAAGATTTGGAGGGAATTTGGAAAAGAAAAGAAAGAATCGAAAATCAGAGACGCGACCGGTGCTTTTGAAGGTGCCTAATTTGGGGAAGAGGCGGCGGGAGGGTTCCGCTCGGGGCGTTGGGGGGAGCCCTGACCTGGCAGAGCGGGGGCAGCGTGGGTGCAGGAGCCGGTGCTGAGCCTGGAGGGCGCCTTGCGTGCTTGGAGACCTCGGGGCTCGGGGCTGTGCCGTCTGGAGACCGGGGAGGGACCGGGACTGTGGGGCTGGGGCGAGGGAGAGCGCGGCGCTGCGGGCGCGGGAGCGGCGCAGACCCGGTGCGGAACGCGGCGCGGGCCGGTGCGGTGCGGTGCGCGGAACGTACCGGTGCGAAGCGCAGGCGTCTGCGCTGCAGGACGCGGAGCGGATTGAGGTGCGGTCTGGGCGCGCGGCGTGCGGGTCCTGGCAAGGAGCGGTGCGGGGCGCCGGGAGCGAGCGCGGGCCGGCGCGGCAGAGGGGCAGGGCGGGGCGGCGCTGCATTGGCCAGTCGTGGGGAGCAGGGTCGCGCCGGTGTCTCCTCCCGCCAGCTCCGCTCAGCCTCTCCAAGCACAACTTGGCGGACGGCGGTGCTCGCTCGTCATGGATGTGCCAGGTAACCAACGGCCCTGCGCTCCGCGTTCCGCTCCTTAGTTGCATCTATGCCTGTATTTTAATGATTTTAATGGGGACCATCGCGAGTCTGCGCCTGGGCGTCAGGAGAGCGACCGCTAGAATATCGACATCATTTTGTCTGGGGCTGAGGACAGAGGCTACTCATCCAGAAACAACTTCTCCCTTCTTAGACTATTGGAGGAGTTGTTCGGTGGCCGTGGGCGGCGAGGGGAGAGGCTTCCGGGCTTTTTGTTCCTGGACTGGGTGTGGAGATGACCTGCCTGGTTTAGGGGGAGCAGAGAGGCCCGGGGGAAGTGGTTAAGTTTGCAGAGAGCCGCGGGGCCGCCTCCCAACCCGGCAAAGGGAGCCGGAGGTCTGGAAACAAAAGCTGCAGCATCAGCCCAGCTGGGGCTCTGGTCCCTGAAACCCTCGTCCTGCGCCAGAAGGACCCGGGGCTCTCCAAAGGCGCTCGCTGCTGGCTGCGGGGACGTGGAAGTGGGTTGTTGGCTTTCAGGGTCTCTCTTTTTCTCTAATTCACCCCAAGGAGCTTCCTGGGGACTTGGTCTTTGGGTGGAAAATGGATAAGATCTTCACTAAGTGAGTGGACTGCTTTGAAAAAAAAATGTTCAGGATGGGAAAATAGAGGACGAAAGGGAAAGCGGAGACGGTGAAAGGTTTCTTGGTGTCGTTTGCAAGAAAATGCCGCTGAAATGAAGGCGATCCAGCGCGAGCGGATTTTCCTTTGCCTGCATCCTGAGCTCCCCTCTGCCTTCGGCTGAGTGGGGTGTCGGGGTGGCGTTGAGGGCGTCCCCGAGGGTCCTGGACTGTGTCTTAGTGCTGAGGCTCTGCAGAATAGCGGGCCCCCGACCTGAACGCACCCCTGGCGCGCGATACCGGGGAGCCTGCAGGGATGCCCTGCTTAGGGCGCCTGGGCGGTTCTGGGAACCTGTTGTGCCAGTCGGGGAGCAGGTAGCTTTGGTCCCCATTAAAACAAGAGGGTGGCCTCCAGCGAGGGGCCCCAGCGCCCCGGGCACCTGCTCCCGGAGCCCCTTCCCGCTCAGCTTCATTTCCCCGTCTAAGGCTTCGGGTTCTTTGCCCTGACAGGTCCGCTGGCGCTTTTCTGGTGAGGACGACCCTGGCCTTAGCCACCAGAGCAGGGGACCGAGGCCAGAGGAGGCTACCCCCGGCCCCGCACGTTGCTCGACCGCTCGCGATCCTCCCGCCCCTGCGCTCGGTCCCCGCGCACCGCCCCCCCAGCCCGGATGCCGGCGCCCGGCCTGGGCCCCCGCGGGCTGCCGCTGACCATGCTCGGGCTCCGGGGGGCGCTGCGCGAGCCGGCCGGCTGCGGCTCCTGCCTCGGGGCGGCGCTGGCCCTGTTGCTGCTGCTGCTGCCCGCCGGCTGCCCAGTGCGGGCCCAGAACGACACGGAGCCCATCGTGCTGGAGGGCAAGTGCCTGGTGGTGTGCGACTCCAGCCCGTCGGCGGACGGCGCCGTCACGTCCTCGCTGGGCATCTCCGTGCGCTCCGGCAGCGCCAAGGTGGCCTTCTCCGCCACTCGCAGCACCAACCACGAGCCGTCGGAGATGAGCAACCGCACTATGACCATCTACTTCGACCAGGTCAGTGCGCAGCGCGCCTCTGGTGAGCGCAGGCTGGGGCTCCCTGCGCGCGGCCTGCAGTTCCGGGCTCTTCCCTCCTCCCTGCCTGTCCCGCCCTGCTCCTCTGCCTTCTCTCTCCTGTTTCCAGCACGCTGCCCTTCCATCCCCCTCCCACTGTAGCTTCCTTTGTAACAGTCCGCTTAGGTCGCACTTGGGTGACTGAGCCCCTTAAAGCTAAGAGATGGGAAATGTGTTTCCCAAAGGGAACTGCATGGTTTACTTTCCCCAGGGCACCAGCTGTCATCTGGGGCGGATGGACTTCAGTCACCCAGGTGGTCCTCACAGAGACTGAGCATTGAAAACTCCACGCTCGGCCCGGCCGGTGTGGCTCAGTGGTGGAGCGTGGACTCATGCACCAGGAGGTCACCCATTTGATTCCCGGTCAGGGCACATGCCCAGGTTGTGGGCCTGATCCCTAGTGGGGGGGCATGCAGGAGGCGGCCAATCGATGTTCTATCTCATCGATGTTTCCCTCTCTCTCTCCCTCTCCCTTCCTCTCTCTAAAAATCAACACAAGAAAAAAAAAATTTAAAACTCTCCAAGATCTAGGAGGGGTTCTCAGGAGGTCTCAGCCAATGCTCAGCAAAGATGTACCTTATTTTGGAAGGGACTGGGAAGAGCATGTTTATCTTCCAGAAAAATAAGTGAGCCAGAGTGTGAGGGAACTAGCAGGGATGGTTATATAAATACAAAAGAAAATAGCATGTGTTATATGAATGCAATATGTAGTGAAGACAATACACACGATGCAATCTACAAATACAATGTATCAACATATAGTGTGGTTACCGGAATAAAGAAAAAGATCAATGACTTCAGTTGCCCTAATCCACTTAGTTTTTCCCACTTGGGTCAAAGCTGCAGCGTCAGGGACATGACTCTACCTTGGCAACCCTTTCTCTGGGTTGTGGCTGCTCAGGATTAGAGGTTGTGACCTCCTGTGTCCCCCACCCCTTGGTTTCTGTCGTTTTTCAGAAACAATTTGAAAACATAATAGTGCTTTTCCAAACTTGAACTCATCAGTCCCTTCCTTTTGACAAAATGCTCCCCACAAATGGAGCCTCTCCAGCTGCACACACGTAGACCTGCCCCTGCATTGGCCCACGCTCCCACCTGCGTACTGGTCACCTGCGCACACACTCTTGCCTCATTTTAGGCCAGCGTGGGTTCATTTACGTTCATCCTTGTTAGGGAGTATGTACATACTTGAATTTTTGTGGGATTTGGGGGTGGTGATGGGAGGGAGTCTGTCTTTAATCCATTTTAATTTACAAGACAAAAATATTTAGGTTCTGTTCAAATGAAGGAGACAGCAAGAAATAGGTAGCTGGTACCTATTTACTGAATTAACTTCTCCGTGTGTGTTGCTTCAAATCCCCGTCCGTGCCCTACAGACGGGTCCACCCTTTCCTCTGGGTGTCGGGAACCGGTGGCCTGGGGCCAGATTAGCGGCAGGATGCTCCTTTCTGCGGAACCTCCCGCAGGGCCGGCACGGCCCGGTCCCGGTTCCGGAGAAACAGACTGCCTTTCTGAGCTGGTTGGGGGTCCTTTCGTCGACAGCAGGGCCCTGCGTCTGCAGGGTTCCTGAATTTCCAACCGAGGTAAAGATCTGGAAGCAGCAGCTCCAAGGGCTTGAACGGAGGACGCTTTATTCTTTGTGAAAGCGTCATACACTGAGAGCACAGCCTTGGGGACTGGGAACAGGATGGCACACCATCCGACTCCGAGCCCCAGCGTCTGTTGAGCCCCACGGACTGGGGGCGGCGGTGGTGCCCAGCTCGGTGCCGGCTGGCTTCGGCGTCATTCCAGCAGCTGGGGTTGTAGCAGCAGGTGACATCGCTCTGGGGACTGCACGAGATTCATCCATAATGAGTGCCTAAGAACCACCACAACACACATTCCGTGACATTTGTTTTCTGAACAGCTGACAGGCCCTCTCTCCGAGGGCTGTGTTGCTGTTGCCGGCTGTTTGTCTTAAAAGCCGAGAACGCCAGGCGGACCACTGTCGTGTCCTAGTGGAGTTGTGCAGGTGTGTGCGAGTGGCAGAGGTGACGGGATCCGGCAGAGTGACCAGACTCCATCTTTAGCACCTGGAAAGAATGGGTTGTGGTGGGGACCCCCGCTCTTCGGGTTCTGCTGATGATGGGGTGCTCCCGTCCTCTCCATCGGGGAAGCCTGTCTGCAGCGCCATGTGACCTCGTATCCCGAGACTGGAGATGCCATTGTCCTTGCGCGTGATGAAATTCCCGCGCAAACTGCGGGTGTCCCAGCTGCGGTGGGGACCCTCCTGCTCTTGGTCCAGGCTCACTGCGTGACGTCATAGCTCAGCCCAGGAAGCAAACTTCACTTAGAGCAAAGTGGGGGTTTCTGGCCTTTGCCTCCGCAGCCATTATTGAGCACCTGCTGTGTTCTGCCAGGGCGCGAGCCAGGCTGAGGGCCACGGAGGCCAGGACCTCACACAGCGCCTTCCGTCCTGGGGACGGGAAGTGAGGGAAGTGACGTCATTGAATTGGCCTCTTGCCCCGTAGCGTGCTCTCTACCCACTCGGCATGGCCCTCGTTTTTGTCACAGCGTCGTGCTGAAGCCCCCAGAATCCCACAAACCTCAGAACAGACTCCATTTCCACTTTGGTTCCTGACCCCATTGCCTGCCTTCCTCTCTCTTTGCCTCGCCCCCAGTGTTCAAAATGAGCACCCATTTCTTTCAACCCACCAGCGCAATTCCTTGAACACATCTGTGTGCCTGTCCTCCTTCCGAACACCGTGGGAATCACTTCCCGCCGTTGGGAATTTGAGCCCAGGTCCCAAGGGCAGCCGGGGCAGCTGAGCAGACCTGGGGCCACTGCTGTGCCCGTCTGACCAGACCGCGTGCCCAGGAGGGGCTGGCTACGCCTGAGCTGTGTCCCTCTTCTTTTTCAGGTCTTAGTCAATATCGGCAACCACTTCGATCTGGCTTCCAGTATATTTGTAGCACCGAGAAAAGGGATTTATAGCTTCAGCTTCCACGTGGTCAAAGTGTACAACAGGCAGACCATCCAGGTGGGTAGCTTTGAAAACTGGGTCTTTCCTCTTTGGGTGGCTGGTCCCCCGTTGCGGCAGACCCTTCCCCCCTCTGTGAGGCCAGGAGAGGGGCTGGGAGCCAGCGGGGTCCTCTGGGTCAGGCCCCCGGGCGGGCTCCATGGAAAGTGGGGGCTGGAAGGGGCAGGGAGAACAGGTGTGTGAGGACAGGTGGGCCCTGCGTGGCCTGCTGACTTTGACCCTCTGCGTTCAGGTCAGCTTGATGCAGAACGGCTACCCCGTGATCTCGGCGTTCGCAGGGGACCAGGACGTGACCAGAGAAGCAGCCAGCAACGGGGTTCTGCTTCTGATGGAGAGGGAAGATAAGGTGCACCTCAAACTGGAGCGGGGCAACCTCATGGGGGGCTGGAAGTACTCCACCTTCTCCGGCTTCTTGGTGTTCCCCCTATAAACCCAGAGCCGGGGTGGCGGGGAAGATGTCGCCTGGACCCAGGAACCCGCCCTCCTGAACCCCCTGAACTTGGCAGAACAGGACAGCTGGTTTTCCAGTTCCATCAGACTGTCGAAAAAAGAATGATTTCCGTCCGAATCTCCAGTTTTTTTTCCTTTGACTATTGACCATTCCTCGGGAACCTAGCCTCTAATTAGTTTGAGGAGACAAGGTCTTCAGGAGAAATGACATTATCGATTCGAGCAATTTGTACGTGTGATTGTAACGTCGATCTGGGATTTTACTGTTGGGACCACTGCGTGTCTTCTTCTTCTGTTTGGACACTGTATCGTCGCCCCGAGAGTGGAGCGCCCAGACCTCAGGATGGATGGCAGGCCGCTGGCCGCGCTCAAAGCAAGAGCCCTGCGGGCCACCGCCCGCCGGCCAGGCCGTGAAATGTGCTCTCTGTGTGTCTGTTCAGCCTTAAGGGAAAGAATGGCTTCACTTTCATTCCGCGTGTTTCCCAGGAGGATGGGAGGACCCGGGAGGGGGAAGGGCACCGTGAACCCTTCGGGAAGTGTTTTCCTGGAGATGCAAGTTTTGCACGATTGGACTGGACTTCCGTTCTGTGCTGTTTGTGCGTGTGTGTTTTTTCCTCCAAAAGCTTTACTTGGCTTTCCACGCCCAGCTCTCCCCCCTCACCCCTGCGCTCATTCTTCATGCTGGGCTGAGGGAGAGAACACGTATGTCGAATCCCGGATGAGACCAAACCAAACAGAAGGTACCTGTGTATCCAAGTGAAAATGGCAGATGGACAATTTTGCGGATTCTTTCAAAGAGATTCTCTCAGATGCACCTTTAGAATGAACATCCTGGATTTTTTTTTTTTTCCATGCTCTGGAATACTTTCGGAACCTGGGGGGCCTGGATCATGGAAGCTGAGAACAGGAGCTGTGTGACAGCGTCCTGAGTACCTGGCTCCTTTGCAAGTGGCCTGGGGGTTCCCAGCAGCAGGGTTCATTTACTGGGATCCACTCTGCATGAACCCACCTGGCATCAGGTGCTTCCAAGACCAGCGGCTCTCCCCAGGATCCCTTCTGATCTGCCCAGGAAAGAGGGGTGTGGACGCCACCCGGTGCGCACCTGGCGGACGTCATGCTGGAGTCGCGGTGGTGACAGCTATTGCCAGGGGCTCCCGGGGAGCAGCTTTGCCATTCAGTCCTGTTTTGGCACCTTGCACAACAACATCATCAAAATCCAGCTGAGCGTTGATGGGTGCAGGATCCCTATGCCAAGGAAATCTCACTGATCCCAAAGCAGTCAAAGAAGAGACCTCAAACCGGATGTTAATTTGTCCTTTGTGTAACAATGTAACCAAACTATTGATGATACAAAGTCATAATTTAAGATTCAGAATAAATGGGTTTGATGTCTGGCTTGCTCTCCTCCCTTCACAGCGTCTCCTGACTCTCAAAGTGTATGTAAGTATCAGCCGAGGGTCAAGGACTTGCAGAAAGTAAATCCATACATTGCCTGTTTACAAAGACACAAACACACCCTCATTGGCAGATCTAGCGATGGGTCGGATGGAAATGGCACTCATAACACATTGCAATTGTACATAGTACTCCCCACACAGGACACGTTTTCAAAAGGCTTCATGGATAGAAAATCTGCTTTCATCATGTCTAGTCATTGGTGTGGCCAGGTTCCAATCCCGTATTTCCACCAGAGACCCGGGACGAAAGAGACTCGTTGGCAGGCAGAGACCATTGTTTCTCAGGTGTGCGAGGGTGGACGGCACTGGGTTTCATTTTCCAAAGAGAAATGCGGTGGGAACCGTATACAGAAAAACCCTACGCTGACCGAGGGTCTGAGTTTCGCTGGTCTTGGGCGAAGAGCGTAATAGGATGCAGAGTTACATGTGAGTGAAATGCTGTTACATTCCGTGGGGGCTGGGGGATATCAGGAGACATCACCCCAAAGGCACCGGGGGTGTCTGGCTCTGTGATCAGTAGAGACCCTGAGCCAGCGCGTTTGCAGAGGCTGATGGCAGACACGCGGGGTGCTGGCTCCTGTCTCTTCTCTGGGTTTCCTTAGTCACCGTGTCCTCTTCCTCTCATCTCCTTACCCTTCCGTTCGCTTGCACACGAACAGCAGACCTCATGAGAGGACCACACAGTACTGCAGACACCGAAAGATCTATGGGGACTTGGATGTTTATCGCTTACAAATGTGAAGTACACGTATTTCTTTGTATTTACTGCTTTATGACCTGCAGGCTGTCACTGGGTTCGAGGTCTAATAAATAAGTTGTTACATGGACCGATCTAAAAATGAGTATGCTTCAGGAGTTTATTTTTTAGGTAAAACACTTCATTCTGTTTATTACACTCTTTTTCTTTCTGAGCCGATGCCAGAGATGGCATTAGGGAGAAGCGCTGATGATGCTGGTTCTGCGGTTGTTATAACTCACCGTGGTGACTTCCCGGGGCCTGTTGGCTGAGGGTCTTTCGGGGAGATGAGGCTGCTGTGTGTGGTCCACAAAATTATACAGGCTGGACCACAATCTGAAATTGATGCTCCTTTACTAGAAAAAGAGCCATGTGTAAGACTCGCAGCCCGGTTTGAGCAGACCCATCTCCGGGCCTCGGTCTTCCCATCTGTCGAGTGAGGGCGGTGACCCCTGTGCCCCGGCCCGGCTCACAAGGCTATTGGGAGACCCGAGAGCGGCCAGGCACCGTGATGACAGGAGGTGTCAATGGTGTGGAGGGCGTTTCTGGGAAGTCAGATATTTCAACATGTAGTTCATGAAGGACATTTGAAATGAACACTTGATGGGAGGGCGTTTGTATGTGAATTTCCCAAATAGCGTAATGATAGTCACTGCATTGGAGCTACATCGGAGTATAGTCTGTTTTTTCTTTGGTTTATCCTCACCCAAGGACACTTTTCCATTTTTTGTTCAGGTAGAGTGGGAGGGGGGGGAGAGAGAGAGAGAGAGAGAGAGAGAGAGAGAGAGAGAGAGAGAGAGAGAAACATCGACGTGAAAGGGACACATCGACTGGCTGCCACCCGCACAACCAACCAGGGCTGGGGACAAACTACAACCGAGGTACATGCCCTTAGCAGGAACCGAACCCGTGTCTTTCTGGTCCACAGGCTGACGCTGTAACCGCTGAGCCAAACCGGCCAGGGCATATAGTCTGATTTTTTGAGAATGATCATATGAACATATGACAATCCAGACGTTTCCATGTGAACTCGATTATGTTATCTGACTGTCCTTTGTGGCTCAAGCCTACTTTCTGTTCCAGGATGTAATACCAGCATTTTATACAAATATGCAGTTGTAATACTTTTAACACAGATAAATAGTGAATTACCGACTTTGTGGCATTATAATAGTAAATTAGCCTCGTTGATAAATATTAATCCTACTGACTGTAAATGCCTTTAAAAATTATAAATTTGTTTTAACTTAAAATACATTCTAATTTGAAACACAATCCTGACAATTCAACTCTAGGTCCTGACACACTGTGTTCACCATCTGTGACTCCTGAGTTTGTGGGCTTCTTTTTGCATCCTGGTATTTTTGATATATGTATTCATGTACAATGAAACCATTTGCATTTTTTTTTTTTTTTTATCCTCACCCGAGGATATTTTTCCATTTTTTGTACAGATAGAGTGGGAGGGAGAGAGAGGAAGAAAGAGAGAGAGAGAAACATCGACGCGAAGGGACACATCGAGTGGCTGCCACCCGCACGACCAACCAGGGCCGGGGACAAACTGCAACCGAAGTACGTGCCCTTAGCGGGAACCGAACCCGGGTCTCTCCGGACCGCAGGCCGATGCTCTAACCGCTGAGCCAAACTGGCCAGGGTGAAACCATTTGCATTTTAAAAGTTTGTGCTTACTATGGTTGCTCAGAGCAAAGGTGATAAAAGCTTACTGAATATTGGCCTGAAAAATCATGGACTCCTATAGAGATGACATATGTACTTGTTTGGGAAAACAAACAAACAAACAGTTTTAAGCCAAATCTAGTTATATCAAGCATCAGAAGAGTTAAAAAGATATGCAAAGCAAACAGAAACCTTGGCTGAATCCTTAAATTCGTTTGTAATAGTTCCTTGATGTCTTATCAGGGGAACTGACTGACATCAGTCACACACACAGTAACTATTACATGTATGTTGCCTGCAGGTATGAACGCATGCTTTTTATCACAGTGATATAAAATAAAAATGCGTAGATTGGCCACATTCTCCGGGACTCCAGAAATATGTGCGCGGGAAATGTGATAAATCACTTCATACAAACAGAACGAAAGCGGGGGTTGCTCCAATGTGCCTCGCATACGGGAAGGAGCAAGGGTGACCTGTCAGTTTCTGTCCCCATCGTTGGGCAGTCTTTCATAAGGAAACAAACATGGCATAAGGCAGTGTAGCTGTGAGTAAATAGTTCATGTCCATGTTTCCTACGGCATGGGAAGTATGTAATAATCGAGTGCACTGTGACGTCACATTTGAGACAGTGTCAATGAACCATGGGACTCAGACGGTGAAACGCACAGAGGCAGGTCGCACTGAGTCCCTCTGTAGGGTTTACTGGGCCATTTGTAAACACACTGTAAAGGATGTAAAGCTACATTAACTGTACAACTACAATAAGCTTTGCCCTTCACCTTGCTCGTGTAGGTGTGTAATTGTCATTGGGACTATTTCTAAAGCTCACACTTTGCTACTAAAATGGGATATTACCAACCTACCTTAAATTTTAAGATCAAAGACTATAAATTCCCACGAGACTCTTAAAATTGATTTTCTTGGAGTTTAAAGAGCAAGCACAGCAAATAAATGGAAATAAAATACAATTTCCATTTTGGTTTTATCATTTTACAGTTTTTGAGCCCAGAATTATTTTTTTTTAATGATACTCTGAAGACGTTGACTGAGGATGGCCACATTCATTAAACAAGTCTGTTTACATATTTGCCTAGTCTTTTCAAACAT